TTGGGATTTGCTTTTGTTTGGTGTTTTGTTATGTCCAATTTATTGCCAGGAGGCATCACACCCCCGGCGGGATCGAAGGCGTCTCTCCAGTGCATCCTCCAGTGGGCAGTGGACCCCAACTCCTGACTGGGTGAGGGAATGAGGACAGAGGAAATCAATGAGGAGAAGAGTTGTGACAGAAATGCCACACACACCCATTTCCCCTGCCTGAAAGACTCCCCACAGGAGCATTTCCCTGTGGGGAATGTCTTTGACTTGTACTCAAAGCTCCATCTTTTGCTTTACCTGTTTGAAACCAATTCCCTGCTAGTTTCATTGAGTAGCTCATACTTGTAGTGCTGTTGTGCACTCAGTTCATCCACCACCTTTGTGCTGTTTGTAAACCTCATTTGTTGTAGAGCAAGTGGAGTTAACCACAGATAAACTCATTTCCCTGTGGGCTTTCCTACTCACAGGTGATGTCTTGGAAGTCAAAGCTTCCCCTGCAGACAATCATGCGGCTCCTGCAGGTGCTGGTCCCTCAGGTGGAGAAGATCTGCATTGACAAGTGAGTAGTTTTGGAGAGCAAGGGCTGTGCAATGTGTCAAGAGCTCTGTGAGGTTGGCAGAATTTGAAGGGTGAAACCTTGTAAAGTATCATTGAAAGCATTATGGTCTCAGTGGCCACAGTCACTGTGTTTAGCTTGATGCTTTGTGCTGCAGCGCTTTTGGGGGTGTCTATGGGCTGTGATAAGCATGTTCCTCATCTGTCTCTTGGCAGGGGTCTCACTGATGAATCCGAGATCCTCAAGTTCCTGCAGCATGGCACACTGGTGGGGCTGCTGCCCGTGCCTCACCCCATCCTCATACGCAAGTACCAGGCGAACTCGGGCACTGCCATGTGGTTCCGGACCTACATGTGGGGAGTTATTTATTTGAGGTAAACCAGTTCTGTGCAATCTAACTTGGTCTTTTCCAAACTTTTGGAGGGCCTGAAGAGAGCACTGCATGTGCTTGGCCACCTCTGGATTGTCTCGTATCAACGCGATGAAAAGATGTCATTCCCTTGGAAAAGGCTGCTCCAAAACTTGGGTTGAGTGAAGGGAATTGCTCTGGGAGCACTGCTTGTTTGGGAACTGGCAGCAGAAGGAAGTAGAAAAGCTGCCTAGAGGGGATGGTGCAGAGACTTAATGCAAAGCTCTGGCTTGTGGGATGCTGTCAGCACTGTCATCCCTCTAAAGTGCACATTGTCTCTCAACCAGTGATTTCCTCTTTTGCAAAGCTGAAGGCATTCTGTGTAGGCAGCTCCTGTAATCTTGCCTGTGAGATATGAATTCCAGGTACCTGCTCACAGGGAGTAAAGTGGCTCTTGTCTTTGTCTCTCAGGAATGTGGATCCCCCTATCTGGTATGACACAGATGTGAAGCTGTTCGAAATTCAACGGGTCTAAGAGAGCACTTACCTCTATGAAGAGAAATACACTGGATTTAAGGACTGCTGTGTGCTGCTTCATCACAGCTATTCCTGCATTTCACATCCAGCTGAGAGACCAAAAGGACAATCACTTCATTTACCTCCCTGTCATTTAAAGCTTTAACTGGGACCTGCTTGGACATCCCTCCCCCCAGCTCACTTCTTTTCCCTCACCCTTCACCAGGAACCTTGAGTGAAAGATGTCTAAGGGGTTGTACATCGTTGTGGTTGCACTAGAAATCAGGTTGTACTTAGCTCTTCTGTTACTCTTTTGCTCCAGGAAGTGGTTTGGAAACCAATCTGACCCTCTCCTTACCTTGGTCAGAGTCAGCATGTAATTGAATAAGACTAGCTGTAAATTGGGTGCAAGGGAGAAGCTGCTATTCCTGCAGGAGATGGGGGTTTGGAAACTGCAGTTGCTTCCATGTGGCTCCATAGTTTCCAGGGCATCCCTTCTGTCTGCAGGTGTCTCCCTGCTCTCAGTTGCATATTGGTAGGGAAGTTATCCCACCCCAATGAAAGGAGGAGTTGCTGAAGGAAAACTTTGTATCTCAGTTCTGAATCTCTCTACTCCTTTCCTGGAAAGCTGCTTAAGTTTTGTAGGAGCTGGTGCTTTGGTGTGGCAGGAGAAGTTTTGCCTTGGATTCCAGGCCCAGCAGCCTGTCCTTCATGATGGGCTGTTGCAATGGAGTGTGTGCCACTTTGGAAAGCTCTGCTTAATCCATGGGAGCACACAGAGTGGCTCAGTGAGAGCAAGAAGAGACGTGACTGTTAAACTCCCTTAGTCTTCTCCTGGTGACTGAAAGGACAGTGTCACCTGGGTTTGAAGGGAACCATATCCTTCCATCTTTGCCTGGCAGGCTGATGCAATGCAGGGAGTGGAAGGGTCTTTTGCACACTACTGTTTAAGGCAGGGGTTTGAGGGAAGCACTCAGGGAAGTTGTAGGAGGAATTTGGAAGTTGTAGGAGGAAAAGCATCTCCATGTCAGCAGGGAGTGGGGAGTGCTGAGGCAAAGTTCAGTTCTTCAGGGCATTTTGCTAGTGACCAAGTTATCACATCTTGAATGTATTGGGTCCCAAGCATGTGAAATCTTGGAAGCCAGGACTGGAATTGGTGGGAGTCCTACTGTTACTGGCTTTGGTTCAGCAGCATGGGATAGGTGGAGACATCCTGGGGTTTGAGTTGCGTTTTATGTTCTGTTGGGAGGGACTGCTGTGTTAGCCCTACATGGTCTTTAGACAATGAAATGTGAGGGGTCCTGTCAGGAGCTGAGACCTTTCTCTCTCCACCAAAGCTTAGTCCTTGGTGCTCTGGTATTCAGGCTCTTGAGAGGATCACTGGCCATGAGCTCCTTGCCAGAGGTGAGATCACTCCATGGAAACTGGTCTCACATGTTGAAGGAAGCAGGTATGGCACACACCTGTAACCCTGGCCTGAGGTTTGAAGCCAGAGCAATAGCAACATGAGTGTCCTCTCCTAGAGGGAGTGCTGCTCTAGTGAACTGCTGGCTCCTGCTGGCTTGTAGTCAGGGGCTTTCCTCCTTTGGGCACTGAAAGTGGGGCTGGAGTCCCAGGCCAGTAGAAAGCTGAAATAAAACTTGAATGGTTTTCTTGAAGGGTAAGAAATACATGAAACAGAGAGAGGTTATTCCCCCACCCACCTCCCATCTCCAACCCACTTTGCCATCCAGCACTACTCCCATCCTGACTTGATCCCTGCTCTGATGCAAACAGAGCGAGGTCTCTGTCTTACTTGGAATCCCTCTCATATATAAGAATGTGATTTGGTGGGGCCAGCCTCTGACTGTGTGGCACTTGCACCTCACAGCTGGAATGGGGCATCCTGTGTCCCACGTGCTTGCCTCTTCCCTCCCATGGATCTGCTGGTTCTCATGATCTCTTCCATCCTCTCTTTTCTGCTTTGTTTCTTTGTGAGTTCCTCTGGAAGCCTTTCTGTTTTGTTTCTTGGTGTTTGGAGTCTGATACTTGTTCTGTGGAAATCAACTTGCACTGTAAACTATTTGCTTACTAACAGAGAGAAAGATAAAGATTATCTGAAACATGCACTTGTTTGCTTAGTTTATTTCCAGAGAGAGGTTTATAATCTTGTTTGGTTTATGCTGGAGTGATTTGTGCTACGAGGAGACTGTGTGCTGGCTTCCTCTGCAGTGTGTGGATTCTGTATTTTAATCAGAAATGAAGATTGGACTCCGGGAAATGAGCCTGAACTGTGTGGTTTGGGCCCCTTCTGTGTTTATGGCATAAAAGGTTACTGCCTCCAAGGGTACAGAAGAGAACCTAGATAGAACTAGCCTTTGAAGCATGTACTAAAACCTTTGTGCAGTTGAGGCTGTCCCCCATGAAACAGGCACCCTGGCCCTGGCAGAGCTCTGGAGGCCATTCATGGATGGCCCATGACAAAGGAGCAGGTAGGTCACTGCCATGTCCTGGCTGTGTTGGATTTGGGAGGCAAGGCTACCTCACTGCTCACTAGGCTTTGGTTACCGTGCCCTGCTCTGCCCTCAGCCTTGTGAAGGAGCCAGGGGCAGTTTTAACTGCATGGAACTGTGTGTTCAGGGGTTTACCCCTCCTGCAGTCCTGCACAAATCAGTCCAGAGATAGACCTCTCCTAAGTGAAAGGGCTGAAACCTTTGACCTTATGTTTCTCTTTGGCCTAGAAGAGTGCTTCTACTGTTGCTCATTGTGGCATTTCTTACTTTCATCTGCAGTGCTGGAACTGCATGGTCAAGGCTGGAGGGCCCTGACCACTGATCTGTAGTGGCTGTGTGTAAGAGTTGGCCCTGGTGGGCTTCAGTCCTGTTCATCCTAATCATGTAGGCAGGTATCCTGTCTGTTTACCAGCAAGAAATCACAAGTCAAGTTCTATTTGAGTGCATACTTGCACATAAAAGCTATGTGACTGTGTTTGTATTTCAGTGGGAGACCTCCAAAGCCACCTATAGGCTCAGTAACTTAAACAGTGTTTTATGCTGCAGACAAAATCCAGCCCATGGGTTTGCCCATGAAGTACATCATTGCCTGTCCCTGAGCTGTCAATAACTAGGAAGTTTTGAGTTCATGTTCATCATTTGACAGGGCCAGCCCTTGGCATGTGTCTCCTGTAGATCCCTTGGCACAAACTGTGACATGAGAATAATAATTAACTTTATTGGAGCCTCATTTATCCAGTTGTTATTTCTCACGACATGTTTCTGTTGACACAGGCCTGAGTAAGAACATGTATTGGGCAAAGTTCGTGCTCGTGCAATCGTTGTCACTTGTGTTTTCACAGGAAGGTGCTATCACTGCCTGAATGCTGAATCCTGAGGGGAGCTCTGTGTGCTCAGGAGTTTCCAGCTCTCGTCACTGTTACTGTCTTGGGAGAGTTTGCTTCTCTAGGGGATCACAACCCTACCCCTAAGTAAGCTCTGGTCTTAAATCTGCACTTGTGAGATTGATTTGTAGAGGAACAGAAGCAATAACATAGATGCCTTTTGTACCATGTTACTTTGGCCTTGGTTGAGAGTCATCAAAGGTTTTGATTGATTGTAAAATATGGCCAGCTCTTAAATCTCCTGTGACCTCTGAGTGCAAGAGTGGTGTAAGTCAATGTCAGATCACTTTGAGTGCAGAGAGACCCAAAGATTTCACAAGATAACACGTGAAAATTCAATCTCTCTTTATTTCCATTCATCAGGCTCTGTATCTGGGAGCCGTCATCACAAACCCCTTTGCTCTCCCATGTGCTTTCAAAGCCTCTCCTGCAGAACAAGTGCACGTGTTCCCTTAGGGTGCACCTTGTGAAATGCTTGTGGATGTGCAAAGCAGCACTGGGATCGAAGTGCTGGGGTAGGGAGGGATTCGCTGCAGATCTGTCAATAGCTCTTGAAGTAGCTGCATGTGCAAGGGTGAGACCTTTGCAATACATACTGGTGCTGTCACCGTGGATGAGCAGCATCAAGTGAAGATCAGCCCTAGTGCTTCTCTAGGGCTTCTCACTTGAGGCTCTGTGAGTGCCTGTAAGGAGAAAGAGTTTATCCTCAGTAAGGCAAGGTAATGTTACAGCTTCTGGTTTTGATAATGGGAGAAGATGTGCTTGAACCAGTGCAGGTCTGAAGGCCTGTCCTGCTCTTCAGTGCTGAGAGCTACCAGAGCTTGGCACTCAGTGGGCCTGGGTCCTACAGGACTCACACAAGTTGATATGGAACAAACAGAAATCGTCCCTGTTCTGACCATTAAAGCAGCTACCAACTGCTTTTTGAATATGACACATAAAGTGTGTGTTTGGGTCATTTCTGAATGGCTGTGGCTGTATGTGCTTCTAGTGGGGCTGGTAGTGATAGGGCTCTTCTGTGCTGCAGGATGACAGGTTGGTGAGCAGTTCTGGGGCTGCTGGGGCTCCACTGTGGGTATTTGAAGCCTTATGGAGTGTAGGTCTGTCTTTGTTGCTGTGGTTGAAGGCTGCTCTTGTGTTCTGGAAGATTTCAATAGGAGCTGGTCAAGTCCTGCTTGCTGCCATGCAGCATCCTCTGTCAGACTACTGAAAAGCCCCAGCACCCAAGCTTCTTTAGAGCAGCAAGACAGTTTGTTTATGGGCTTTGAGTCTATGGAGATAAGAGCAACACAACCCAACCTCCTTTTCTTCTGAAACTCAGAGGGGTTGCGCGAGGAAAAGTCAAAGCAGAAGCCAAAGGGGAAAAGCTTCACAGCTTCCATGTGCATATCCGCTGCTTCCTGCATCTTTGTTCAGCATCAGTGTTTCACCCCAGCCCATGGGTGGGGGTTGGCGTGGTCAGGCTGTGACATAGACCTCCAGGAGCCCCCCCACGGAGTGCATTCGGTAGAACACCCCCAGGGGGAGGCCGAAGTTCACGATGGCAAACCAGGTGGAGTAGCCGTAAAAGGACTTTTCCAGCCCGTTCTCGAAGACGGGGTGAGCCCCAAATGTGGGAATGACCCACAGCTAAAGAGGTGTGAGGGAAACAAGAGCGAAGTCAGAGGATGAGAAACCGTCTCCTACCTGCTCTCTAACCTCAGCACTGCCTCAAGTCATTGTAGGAGTATTGCAAGAGTACCAGAGGAGTCTCCCTGACAGAGAAGAGAAGGAAAACCCCCCAGTTATGCTGCTGAGCCCTTGCTATATGTCAAATCCTGCTGATCTTAATGCCAGCCTCATTCTGCCCCAGCCAGCTCCATCCTTCTATAGAATCCCACTGTTTCCTTGGCCAATGTGTTTTCAGTGGATAAAGGCTGCAGTGAGGATCCAAGCTGATTCAAGATCCCAGAGCACTGAATTGGGTGAGTCTTAATCCTGGACATCCATGTTTACAAAGACACGCTGCTGGTGCCTCACGTTCCACCATCTATCTCATGAAACACCCTTCAGCCAGCTCCATCCTTCTATAGAATCCCACTGTTTCCTTGGCCAATGTGTTTTCAGTGGATAAAGGCTGCAGTGAGGATCCAAGCTGATTCAAGATCCCAGAGCACTGAATTGGGTGAGTCTTAATCCTGGACATCCATGTTTACAAAGACACGCTGCTGGTGCCTCACGTTCCACCATCTATCTCATGAAACACCCTTAATGATTAAGATAACCCTTTCAGAAGCTAAAATCTTGGCTCATAAGGATTTATTAGCTCTCTGCTTTCTGCACCCAGGAAACCCAGCCATAGTTGACTCTTTGGTTG